GTGGAAGCGAGGAGGGTGACACTAGTAAAATTTGGTTCCTGCACTGCTCGCTTCCTTTATTCTCTTGCAAGGCATCTCTTCAGACAGCAAATGAAACTCCTCTGTCAGCTCTGAGCTGTCCGTGTGACAAAGGCATGGGAGACGTCCATACTTCAGGTGTCACCAGTTTCGCTGCTTCCACTGGCTCTGACTGGGGATTGGCCTGATGGGAGTCTGTGGAGAAAGAATCTGAGTTCTCCTGGCTTTGGAAAAGGCATGCTCTGTTCTGTCAATGCGGGGGGCCTGCCAGCTATCTTGAAACCAGGTGGGGGCTGCTCCTGGGAGCCAATGACGCGAGTGCCTGAGCACTCCCTTCTACACTCCTGAACTGGTCTTCTACCCCTGTAAACCAGGCTACCAGTCCGTGACCTGTTAGGGACTGGGCTACACTGCAGGAGGTGAGAGGTGGGTGAGCCCGTGAAACTTCATCTGTATTTACAGCCACTCTCCTTCGCTCACATTACCGCCTGAGCTCCAGCTCTTGTCAGATAAGTGGTGGCATTAGATTATCAAAGGAGCGGGAGCTCTGTTGTGAACTGCGCATGCAAGGTATCTAGAAATAAAGTACACCATAAACATAATGCACTCGAATCATCCCCAAACCATCTCCCAGCCCCAGTCCATGGAAAAATTTTCTCCTATGAAACTGGTCCCTGATGCCAAGAAGGTTGAAGACCACTGCTACAGACCACCTTCCGGAGCAGCTCCTGAGCCAGGGGTGCTGATGTGCTGGTTGCTTGTATGGGATTATGGAGGAAGAATCACACACCATATAGTAGTTTTTTCCTCCAACTGAGGCTCAGTGATCAGAACTGTAGTTCACTTAGGAAGTTTTGGTTTTAGTTGCAAAAGCTGTGATGCTTAGAAACAATGAGACAGGGAATCTCAAGGTGAACCCAGCAGTGGCCGAGGGAAGGCTATGGGGGTGGTTTCATTAGGGCCACTTGAAGGCACAGCACTGCCTCACCCTAGATTTTGTGCAGAAGCAGGTGAGGTCAGAGTGGCTCTAGATGTTCAGTTTCTCTTTCTCGCCCCCCTGGCTGTCAACTGTTAGGGGCACTGTGGGTCATAGACACTGTTATGTTCCTGTCATCAAAGGCTCAAGACACATGGCCTCTGCCCTTGAGTTTCCATCTAATGGGAGATGCAAACATGTAAACTAATAATTAGATGTTCAACCCCTCTCTGAATACCTAGAGATTACTTTTAAAAATTCAAGCTGGAGACTAAGTGCGGTGACTCATGCCTGTAATCCCAGCATTTTTGAGAGGCCAAGGCAGAAGAATCACATGAGGCCAGAAGTTGAGAGCAGTTTCGGTAACATAGAGAAACCTCATCTTCACACACACACACACACATACACACACACACACACACACACACACACACAAAGTCGAGCATGGTTGTGCCTGGTTGTATTCCCAGCTACTCTGGAGGCTGAGGTGGGAGGATCACTGGGGCCCAGGAGTGGAGGCTGCAGTGACCCGTGATCATGTCCCTGTACTCCAGCCTAGTTGACAGAGAGAGGCCCCATCTCCAAAGAAAAAGAGAAAAAAATCAAGCTGAGCATTCTTAGAATAAGCTGATTTTCATCCAGGTCACCGCCCAAACACTTTGTAGATGAGAATCTTTCTTTGTTTCTGTAGCAAGATGTTCTACTGGTGGAAAGACTTGGTTTAAACATTTGCCATATTCTTACCCCATACCTGCCCATGTCAAAGCTCAAGGTTTCCCTTCTGAACGCCCATGCCAACCCCTCCATCCTGTTCTCTGCACCCATAAGTGGGCCCTCAAGGGGCACTGGTTCCCACTTGGAGAACATGGGATGTCGGGAGAGGATCAGGAGCTCTGCTTGGGCTCTCACTGCTGGGTCTGCACATACAACCACAGTGTCCCAGCATATCCCAGTTCCCATTCCTTGGTCTTCTCCATCCTGACACAAGTCTATTCTCAGCTTCAGGGCCTCAGCCAATGCTGGACCCCGTCAGCTGCCTGGAATTCACCCACAGCCGATTTTGCTACTGCCTCCTTGCTTGTCTACCTTGGAACAGCACCCCTTCACAGTCGGGGGTTGAAGATGGAGGCAAGGAAAACAGCTGCCACAGACAGTAATGGGGCTCCTGAGTCACGCTCTCAGTCCACATGGGACCTTCCCAGCAACACTCCAGGCTCCAGTTTCCACTCCCAACAGGGCTCCAGAGGCCACGCCCCACTGACTCTCAGAAATCCCGAAGGAGATACTCGAAGGAGTAGCCCCATGAGCCCGTGGAAGGAAACAGCAGCTCCAACCTGCAACATGAGGCTTTCGGTTGGAATCACAGAGTTCCTCTTCTTTATGTGGTACCTGGTAGAATTGTTGTATTGACTTTTAGAACACCCAGCTAAAGGAAAAGTCAACCAATAGGACCAGGAGGGAAAACACTCTATATTATGGGTTTTAAAATTCCAGCTCTGTTAGATTTAGATGAGAGGAAGGAAGGGAGGTCAGGGCTTTGCAGAGAGGTCCAACTCCGGGTGCCCAGGGGACCTAAATCTTCCCCTCTTTTTCATTGCTCCATCAGTGAATGTCTATGATGATGAGCCATAGGATATTGTTCAACATGGACTGTCTACTCCTCTTCCTTCCCTCAGGAGTGGCCTCTGGCCAAGGCTGGTCTCTAAAGCGTGTGCCTATTCCCAGTAACTAGACATGGCATGTAGGTGACCAAGCAAAGCTGAAAGCAGTGTGTTCGTTATGTGTAATCAATGTAATTGTAAGTGCCAGATAGGAATTTGATGAACTGACTTGCTTGCCTATGAAACTACTTACTGTACCATCCCAAGGCGCCAATTCTTTCTTTACCAACTGGCTGCCATTGGTACCTCCTGTAACTTCTAACAGACCAATGTCTCTCCCCGCTGGGTCTCTGGGTGACTTCTTTGGAACAGGTCAAGAGCCCTATGTACAAGCCCTCTCAGATTTGGGGTTGCTGCGTTACATGTACACATTACGACACACAAGAGCAGGTCCTCCTGCCTGGAATTTCCTGCCTGCTCCCCTCCTGTCCCCAGCCCGGGCCTCGTCAGCACCCGTGTACCCTTCAGACCCCAGCTCCCAGAGGCTTTTCTCCTTTGAATAGTGACAGGGCTTAAAATGCGAATTTCCTAAAAAACGCTTATGGGGGTGTGGCGGTTCAGCTCTTTCCTGAAAGCCACACTTGATGTGGATGGGAAGAGAGGGGAGAGGAAAAAGGAAGACTGAGGTTACTGAGGCACAGGGGCAGCAGCAGGAAGCTAGTCCCCCCGGGGGAGCAGGAGGGCTCGGGAAGGGGAGCCCAGCACCTCTCGGGTCAGTTTGGCTGACTTCCCCAGAGCTTAGGATGCTTAGAGTTTAAGTCAGACTGTTATCCTGGACATCCAGGAGGGAGTGCGGTTTCATCCCAGGTTAAGGAGCAATGATTGGTTCATAGGCTGATATCCAGGAGCCACTGAGCTGCTATGAGGTCTTTAAGGTTCTGATATCATGTACCTACGTGGTAGGACTAGGACCAGGTTCAGTTTAGGCTGAGGCTGTGGAGGCCCTGACCTCCCAGGGAGGGTGGATTGCCACATCCCAGGACACAGCTTCCCATACCCTGGGGCCTGGAACCTGGGACAGCCTGGAGTCACATGTCATGATTTCCTCTCTATCTTGTCCCAGTATTTCCTCTTATGTGTCACTTGACTACTGGCAATTCATTTCATCCCTTGGCTCTCAAATCCCTCATCTGTAAAATGGAGGTTAAAACAATAAAATATCTCATAAAGTGATGTTTACAAATCCAGTAAGAACAGTTCTGGCATATAATAGTCAACAGATGTTTCTCCTGTTCTAGGACCGCACTATCCTTTTGGCGGGAAAAAGGGAACTAAATGGTAGAGCCGGGGCATGGATTATGAGGAATGGGCTGGGGTTGTCCAAAGAAGGGTTTGGGGTTCAGTGGGAGGGCTGGAGGCAGAGGTAGTGTGTGGGATCCTCATCCTGGCTTCCAAGTTGAACGGTGGCAGGCCGAGAGTCTTAGTGACACACAAGGACACTGTGACTTATTTATAAACAATGCATGGCTAAATAAAGAGATAGCCAGAGGGAGTGTGTGGACCCAGGGCTGGGACTCAGCTGCCTCTGCAGGCCATCGCTCCTGTTGGGCAGTCGGTGACTCCACACCCTCCTGCTCAGAGTGGTCCACAGGCCGGATACACCATGTAGCTAGGATCTCATTGAGTGAAATCTCAGGCCCTGCTGAATCAGAGCCTATAGTATAATGAGCCCCCAGGTGACTCAGGGACTTACTTAAGCTTGGGGGAGGTGTGAGACCTGCTGGGATTTGTAAACCTCTTCACGCCAAGGCAGAATGCCAACAGGTGATGCTGAGAACTTGATTGCATCCTAATTTTACGTCAATTTATACTTTAATGGACTCACTCTTGACCAGGCTGGAGTGCAGTGGCATGATCAAGGCTCACCACAGCCTCGACCTCCTGGGCTCAGGTAGTCGTCTCACCTCAGTCTCTCAAATAGCTGGGACCATAGGCATTGCCACTACACCCAGCTAATTTTTTTGTAGAGGTGAGGCTTCACTATGTTGCCCAGACTGGTCTTGAATTCCTGGGCTCAAGTAATCCTCCGGCCTCAGGTTCCTAGAGTGCTGGGATTATAGGCAAGAACCACTGCTCCCAGCTATTATCTTTGAATAGTCTTTGTATGCAGAGTAATAGTTGGAGGGAACTGTATTACCAATGTGCCTTTGACACATTCAAGCTTCCTGCTCTTGGTGTGGCCGTACACACACACATGCACACACACACACACACACACACACACATACACACACACACACACCCATAACATCAGCAACATTCAGCATGAGACTTAATCACCAGACACAATTCCTGTATCAATGGATTCACTAGATATTCCCTAATGCATAATTTCTATTAATAGATTTATTAAAAATTCCCCTACTGCCGTCTGTCAGGGGAGGCAGGGAATCAGTTCACACAAATTTTGGCAGACCTGGGGAGGCTGTAACATCTCTGCTGAGCATCCCAGAAGGATTGAGAGTCAGTCAACGAAGCTCTCGTGTGTCCATCAGGGTTCCTTGGACACATCATTGCTCTGTGCCTCAGTTTCTCTCCTGCAAAGTGAGCCACACGATTGGCAAAGAGGGTTTTAGCTTACTGAGCAGACTCTTAGCTCCCTTTCCTCTTCTGTTCAACACTTCCTTCTTCTGGGTTTTCAAGGGACCTCATGTTCTTTTAACTTGATGCTGGTGCCAGCCTGGGAAAGTGCAGAATTCAGACAGTGGGTCTTAGTGGCTCCAAAGGTAGCTGTGGCTGTAAGGAGTGGAAGGGGAAGGAAGACGCTAACGCTGCCCTCTGCAAGCTCAAAGCCAGCTCTGACCTTTACCCAGAGACCTAAGTTTCCTCCTGCTCAGAGGGTGCACCATTTGGTCCACCGTGGATGAGGTGTTAGTACCTTGCTTACACTTGATTATGTGCCAGCAGCATGCCTTTTTAATGTCTTCATTTCCTTGTCATAGAAGTTTCTATAGTGCTGGAATACCCTGAACTGGTAACTAAGACTGATGGTTAGCTACTCCACCCCCTCATCTTCTCTCAAGTCCTTCTGTACAGACCAGGAGGGACCCATTCTCTTTGCAGTTGGCTAAGATACTAGAACTGTAAAAGATATTAGATATTAGAACTGGGATATTAGAACTGTAAAAGATCCTACAATAGTTCAGTGGTTCCCAAATACCAATCTATTGGAATTTTAGCTTCTAAAAAAAAATACAGCTTCTAAAACCCCACCATATGTACTTTTGTAGATGTTGGCTGAGTGATTCTGATACCCTGTGAACTCCAGACTTGCCTTTGCCCATTTGTGGCTGAGAATGGGGTATGTGAGGCCCGCCACTAGCTCCAGGTCCCACGGTTGAAGATGGTAGGTCCAGGTTCAAGTTTCCCCAGACACGTCTCATGTGCTTACTTGCATTGCTAAACCTACTTGTGGGTCAAAGGAACAGAAGCCTTATCATGCTGAATCAAGAGGAATCAAAAAGCAAACATTTAATAAATATTTTGATAAGGTTGTTATCAAAAGAAGGGTTGCTCCTCCTTGTGTGGAATAGGTCGATGACCAGGTTCTTGTGTTCACATTTGGAAAGAATTCGTAAACAGATACAAAAAGAAGTAGGATAAGCAAGTAGTTTTTGTTTTTGTTTTTGCTTGCATGCATGGTTTTGCACCACCTGCCGCAGAAATCAATAAGCTTGGAGCTTTCCTTCAACCCTAAAGTTTCCCTAGTTGAACCTGCCTACTTTACCAAGGTGACTTCTACTTTACCAGGGTTCTCTTCTGAAAGATCAGAAGAACCAAAATGTTCCAAACATCCCTCCCCTCCTTCCTTCCCAGCGCACACTCAGCCTGTGCCTGAGGTTGGAGGAATGAGGAGTGAGGGAAGGAATTAAGTCTCTCTAAGATCACATAATCCTGTTGCTTCTAAATCTAGGGAAATAATTTTGCTTATAGGCTGCCAGACTCCATTTAGGACTTATTAAAACAAGACATAAAACCAGGCCAAACAAGAGCTTTAGTTCAAGACTGCTTAGATGGCCTTGGAAACTTGCCTGGTCCTCTCCTGTGGGTAACTGACCCGGCCCTTGGTTCTGTCCTGGGTGGGAGGGGTTCTATATTCCCTCCACATCACTTATTTGCACATATTCATGGTGTACATAGTGATCAGATCAGGGTAATTGGCATTCCTATCGTCTCAGACATTGACCATTTCTTTCTTTCTTTTTTTTTTTTTTGAGTTGGAGTCTCACTCTGTCACCCAGACTGGAGTGCAGTGGCTGCTCCCGGCCACTGCAGCCTTGACCTGCTGGGCTCCGGCGATCCTTCCGCCTCAGCCTTCCAAGTAGCTGGAATTACAGGCGCGCACTACCACTCTCGGCTAATTTTTTGATTTATTGTAGAGATGAGGTCTCACCAAGTTGCCCAGCCGGGGCTCAAACCAGCGGGCTCAGGCAATCCACTCACCTCAGCCTCCCAAAGTGCGGGATTACAGGCTGAGCCACCGAGCCCGGCTGACATTCACCATTTCTTTGTGTTGGACTCATTCAGTATCTTCCTTCTAGTTATTCGAAACAATACATGAGGAGGGACCCAAAAGAAACCGGAATTACCTTTTTTTGGAATGTAAGCCCGTTGAAGTACAGGATTCCCTGGCTAGGAAAATGTTCTAAGAACCCATCAGCATCAGTGTACCAGCCAACGTTTTTGCGAGAGGCTGCATTGGCTTCAGTGGAATTTTTTTTTTTGAGATTCTTTCAAATACGTTTGCCCATTTCATGATAGGTAATTTACAATTCTACTGCCCACATCTCACTGAGTGTTCATCAGTTTTTGACTAAAAACAGCATGACCCCATGCCCAACCCTCCCTATTCACCCAATCTTGCCTGGAGTGACTTTTCTTTGTTTCCCTGGATGAAAAAAATCCTCAAAAGGAAATGTTTTGCTGATGTGGAAGAGGTAAAACAAAAAACAGCAGAAGCAGTAAAAGGTATCAAAATGGATGAGTTCCAAAACTATTTTGAGCAGTGAAAAAAGCATCTTGATAGGTGTCTTGCATCAAATGGAGAATACTTTCAAGGTGACTCAAAAAAAAAAAAAGAATAAATACACAATTTTTTGTCAATAAATTTCAGATTTTTGGGGGGTCCCCCCTTGTATTAACTACAGTCACCTACACAGTGCCACAGAACACAGAACCTATTCCCCTATGTAGCTTGATTTTTGTGTCCTTTAACAAATATAACCCCACTCTTCCCTTCCAAACCTCTAGTATCTTCTGTTCTATTTTTTACTTCTATGAGATCAACTTTTTGTTAGCTTTCACATAAGTGAGAACATTTAGTGTTTAGTTTTCTCTTCCTCATTTATTTCACTTAACACAATGACTTCCCGTTCTGGAAGTGACAGGATTTAATTTTTGTGTGGCTAAATAGTATTCCATCGTGTGTGTATACCACATTTTCTTTATCTATTCATCTATTGTTGGACACCTAACTTGCCCAGCACTCATTTCTATGTACGTGACTCTCAGACCTTGCTCTGAGCCCTGTCCTCTCCCCAGCACACATCCCACCAGTAAGTCCCATCACCAAATCCCTCTTCAACACATCCCAAGTGGAATTCAGCCCTCTCCAAAATGCAGCTTGTCTCCTTGTGCCTCCTTTTAACTGGTGCTTCCTTGACACATCTCATCTCCCAAGCCTAGACATTGAAGGGATGTTTCTAGTTAAGTTCCCCTGGACTCCATCTTTGGTCTTGTGTTATGTTGGATCAAGGATGGAAGAATGATGATCAGGTGTGCACGTGGCACGAAGGTGGGGAAATTAGCAGATACAATGGCAGAATCAAGACCGAAATGTTTACAACAAGCTAAGAAGACAGAAATCAACATGATTACATTTAGTAGGAATAAAATTGTTTTGCATTAGTGTTTTTAAAAGTTACAATACTATATTTTTCCATTTATATCAATTTCTCTCTTTTTCTCTTTTTTGAGTCGAAGTCTCACTCTGTCACCCAGGCTGGAGTGCAGTGGCACAATCATGGTTCACCACAGCCTTGACCTCCTGGGCTCAGGCAATCCTCTTGCCTCCAGTCTCCTGAGTAGCTGGGACTACAGGCACTTACCACCATGCCTGGCTAATTAAAAAATTTTTTTTTGTAGAGATGAAGTCTCGCTATGTTGCCCAGGCTGGTCTCAAACTTGTGGGCTCAAGCGATCCTCTCATCTCAACCTTCTAAGGTGCTGGGATTATAGGCATGAGCCACTGCATCCAGCCTGCTATGCTCTGTTGCTTGCTTTTACCATGAGCTTTCTCTGAAGTTCTGGTGTAGACATCCAAGAGGCTTGTACTATACTGTTCCATGAGCTCAGGTCACAGTTTCTGTTGTGGTCCAGAAAACACTATGCCCTACAGTTCACTATGAAAAAGCCAGGCTTTTAATCAATTTTCCCCAGCTGATAACCTCAGTTTTTCCTATAACTGATACAGGGCCTATAATTTATTTAAAAAATAAGAGAGTTAAAAAATAAGACATGGAGAAAGACGCTTGAAGATCATACACCTGAGCCCAATGCTGTCATTTACAGAAGGGGAAGATGAGGCTGGAGAAGAGAGGTGACTTGCCCAAGGTCACACAGCTGGTCTCCAACTCCTGAACTCAAGAAATCCTCTCTCCTCAGCCTCCCAAATTGCTGGGAATTACAAGCACGAACCACCGTCATCTGGCCTATTCTTTTTGTTTTCTTAATTTTTAATTTTGCTTAGACTATATTAATAAAAGTAATTTTCCCTGTTTCTTTTTACTTTTAAAAATGCAACTATTAAAAAATCTAAAATTATGTAGGTGGTCACATTATATCTCTAATGGATGTGCTCTGTAGAATAAAGGGGCTGAGACTAGAGAAAACAAAAGAACATAAAACAATGAACTATGTCTGATTGTGACATAGGTCTCTGGGGCTACATTTGTGAAATTTGCTCTAGAATTCTCCCTGTTGTGGAAATCACAAATCTTGAAGAGCTCTGATTGCAGTTAGAGAAAACTGTTCCACATAGAAGGGGTTTAATCTGTTAGAACCTGCAGGGCCATCTGCGATTTTTCATTCCTGAGCCCACAAAGGTAGTAAGAGTGACACTGCCTGCGCACAGGCATGAAAAACCAGGAGAAAGGCAAAAAGACAACTTATGACGATTCTCTCAAGTCTTTTCATGTCATCTCCAGGAAGAAAAGTGAGTGTTGCCATCGTCTCTGGTCTGAAGCTTACTCATCCCTCATCACTTCTCCCACCACATGGCATCCCTTAGAAAGTTCTTCCTAGACCCTCTGGGATTGGGATAGATGTCTCCTTCCATGTGCTCCCATGATTCTTTTTTAAGCAACATTTCCTACACAGAACTGATACTACCTGTTTACTTTTCTTTCCTGTAGACTGTAAGCCCCTCAAGAAGAAACAGTACCTTGTCAACCACCTACTGAAGTGACCAGAATGAAAAATATTGAGAGAATGAGTGAGTGAGGACTATGTTCCTTCTTTCTTTAGAGGGAAATAATTT